TTTTTTACATTTCAAAGTTTTAATTATAAAACGGCATGTGTACTGAGGTTATAGTGTATGTCATTGCATTCCCCAATAAACGGTGTATTGAGGGAAAAACTGCAGATCAACCCGTGCAGTCTACCAACAATCCTGCGGTATGTTACATAATTATACCTAATCTATTTATAAACAAGATTCTATGAAAAAAGTTTGCAACCAATACTATATTCCATAGGAAACGGACAGTTCCACAGCCAAAGTATTCTCTAAGGAAGCATGTTTCTCCCAAAGAGGTGGTCTGCAGACAAATTGGTTACATTTGTCATTGAATTTAAATTTTATTTCAAATAAATAGTAATAAAATAATTAGTAATCATTATGTAAAACAATGTGTTAAAATGACAATTAAATGGTTGTATAACTTTTGTATTTGTAATTGTGGGTAAAATACAAAATGTATGAGTAATATGACTGCATTCTAAAGTTTAAGCTTCAGAATGATGAACATTGAATGCTGTTAATTTAAGTTAACAGTGTTAAACATTGAATTCAAAAAACCCATAACAAGAATCACAGCAAACAGATTGTAAAGAAATTCGTTTCCAATTAAAGTATAATTATTGTTATGCGATGAATGTAAGTCTGTAATTAGATTAACTCTAATTAAAATAACAATTGTTTAGTCACTAAACTTTAGTGGTCAGATTTTCTAATAATTAATTGTAATCTATTGAACATTGACTTATTTCATATACAGTATTAATAGAAGTTTTATATTTATTTATAGTAATTGACTTAAAAGCACTTTTGAATACATCTCTCAAATGATGACTTTGTTTCCGAAAATAGTGCTAAATATGAGCTGATCTTGAGATGTATAATCAATTTTGTTATATAAAACAACATTCAATAAGATTAATGGTTTGCACAAACTATGACCTCAACGGATATAATAAACAGCACAAACATATTGTCGGACATAATTTAGTCAATAATAGAAATAAAAAGTTTTGTCAAATTATGTTAAACACAAACATTAATCACATATTGAAGAATTGCCCACAACTTTGACCAAAAGTTAGTTCATATTTAAGTGATATACAAATAAAGCATCGACTTATTGAAGACCAGCATTCATAGGAGGTTGTGGTCATTTCAACAATGAATTTCTATCTTATTATAATAACTAAATGTCTAATTGTTATATTATTTAGGTTTAATGTGGCCGATGGTAATATTGAATTTTTTATATTGAATTTTAATAAACTATATAATTATTTATAATATAAGAATGTTTTTAAAAACTTTCAGTACCGCTTCCACCACTTGCTTCTGCAAACAATGTCATGAAATTAATTATTAAGGGATATCTCAACAAACTTTTAGAAGCAAATCAATTGAATGAATCACATCTGAGGAAGAAATTATCTTCTATGAGGTTTTATATATATTATTATTATTATAATTGACTGAATTAAATGATTTGATTATGATTTACAAATAAAGCGATTACATAGCATCACATCCAGCATTGCATCAAAGATACCTTTGGGTGGGCCCTAAGCCGCCTCCGTTTGACTACGACCCTGATCATTATAAGGTAACACCTGATTTAATGTTTCTTTTAATCTCTAAAAAATTAATTATAAAATTCAATTTTTATTTTGTACGATTAATACAAATACCATTTGTAAATGTGAATATTAATTTATAATTAACGTATTGAATTGAATTTAGCATTGTTTAAAAACTTCCAGCACTTAAATGAAGTTGATATGACTTTTAATCAGGATAACTATTCTTAGCCATTGAAAATAATGTTAAAACTCATTCATAGTATTTGATATAAAAATTACAAAAATGAATGTTTTTCAATAAGTTGAAATACATTTTTCAATGCTTAAGTTTAACTTCATACATGAGTTTTAACATTATTTTCAATGGCTAAGAATAGTTTTCTTGATTAAAATTCATATTATGTACGAACATTACAAACATTTAAATAATTCAAATATATTTAATTATTATTATTATTATTACCCTAAAATTTCGTGCATTACCCGCGGGTTATCTATTGAAAAGTGACATTATTGGATAATTCTTATATCATTGCTTGATAATATATTGCTTGATAATATATTGCTTATTACACGTAGAATAATATTCACAAACAAATTTTTGAGATGCGGGTTATTCATGGGTGCTCGGAATTATAGAATAATATAATTTTAATTATTTTGAATATTATGTTTATAATTGTACGAAAATGATATTAAAATATGATTTGCTATAATAATTCAGTTGAAAGCCAAGGATTATTCGGAAACAGATGTTAGAAAAAGAAATTCCGGAGAAACCGAAAAGTTTCCATCGGAAGAGATCTGCAAAACAACGCGTCAATGGGAACAGGTTTGACATCCAGTCAATTACAGTGCATTGAGTTTACTTGAAATCCAATTATTAATAACGTATTGAATACAAAAAGGTGAACACAACACATGACTTGTATGATAATAAAGTAGAAGTGGTACAGGAAGAGGAACTCCAACAGTTTGTCTTCTCCTACCGTTGCGCTACTCTTAAAGGTATTTCGCACTTTTTAATGGTCTGTGAATTGCAGTCTAAAGTATATGTTTATTATACAAAAGGCCAGTGTTTGGGAATATCACCGCTATATCACAGCGAATGTACCGAAAGAAACGGATGGATGTATATGTACTACAAGAAGGCCAATGACAAAGCGCCGCAATGGGGATATGTTTCGGGTGAGCCATTATTTGTCATTCAATTTAACTAATACTAAATGTCCTAAACTTAATCAACTATATGATGGTGTATTAGCGCCGCATCACTGCGCCTGTAAATTACAGCCTAAGTTCATACCAACCGTCGCCACAGAAGAAAATTAAATAATTTATAACTTGAATATGAATCGAGTCCTGAAATGTTTGATTTGCGTTAACTTCTATTCAATACCTTTTCTTTAATGTTTTATCATATTTTATGATTATATATAAGAAAAGTTATTAATTTTTAAAATAAAAATAAAATTTGGTAAAATATTGTTTGGATTCGGAATAGAAATTAATATTTTCAATATTTTTGGACTCGATTTCATTTAATTAATCTTTTTTAACGTTAAATCAAACTTTATTTATTATTCAAATCAATAAAAATGTAAAATGACTGCTAAATGTAAAATGTTTTAATGAAATGTGTATTTATTTTTGAGCATTGAATTGAGTGCCATAATTGTTGGTCTTATTGAACTCAACAATTTTCATGTGTTCATCGATTTCCTCTTTTTCTGTCAATAAAAGTGGTTTTAAATTCAATTGCGGAATACGAAGGATGACTGCAATCCATAACATAATCATTGCGAGACCGAAATATAAATATGTTATTGTGCCTAAAAAGCAATCATTAAAATTAATCCATAATGTCATTAATTATTAAATTAATATTATATGAACTTTAATTCTTACATATTCTGTATATTTGTAACGATTCGTATTGAGTAAAGTCAGAAGTGGTGGCAACAAAGTCACCCAAACCAACAGTTGTCAGACTTATATAGCAATAATAGATAGCGTCGAGAAAAGACCATTCCTTCTCCATATACGAGAAGAGAAACGCCGGAAAAACTAATATTAATAAGAGTAGAATTATGGTTACAATCATCACATGAAGTAATCGTATGAAGAAATCGGGCGTATTTTGAAAGCGTGTGGAAAACATTTTGATGAGCCATTTCTCAAATATCCTGATCGGACCGTTCTTTAGTAGCGATACTATTATCGATAGAAATACTAGAGTGAAAGGGATGGCAACGCACGAGAATATGAGGCAAAATATTTTGCCCTCCGTTGTGATGGGTGTGATGTGTCCGTAACCAATAGTGGTCACAACACTCGTCACAAACATCAAACTCGACGTGAATTCCCAATTGGAATATTCTGTGGGAATACCAGACGACAACACATCTGACATTTGGTTATTCTGTCGCACTTTTGACTCTCTTTTCTCATGAGATCCCACTTTAGGTTCTTTAGTGTAACTCTTATAGGTTTCTTTGAATTGCTTGTCGTTGTCATCAGTTCTGTGGCTAATACTCTGAGCAGTATGTGTTAGCGATGGCTGAGTGGGCGCAGCATTTAGATTGCGATGACCTCTCAATTTGAGCACTTGATTGAGTTGATGCAAATTCACCCCTTTGTCCAATGATTTAATTACGGACTCGACAAACGCATCGAGCGATTCGGCTATTAATATAATAATTAATTAATTATTATATAACTATTGATTTTAAAGCACTTATACCATCGACACAGGGATGTCTGGCCAGGAATGTCTGTTGCGTTCGTAACAATTGGTCCCGCATTTGAAACTCTGCCTTCTGTTCAAAGAGTGAGAAGACTGAGGCGCCCAACAGAATGAGCATAACGTATATTATGAGGAATAACACAAGTAAGAAGTGATGAGGCGATGAGACATNATGTCTGTTGCGTTCGTAACAATTGGTCCCGCATTTGAAACTCTGCCTTCTGTTCAAAGAGTGAGAAGACTGAGGCGCCCAACAGAATGAGCATAACGTATATTATGAGGAATAACACAAGTAAGAAATGATGAGGCGATGAGACATAATAGTGATATGTCTTATGGTCTTCACTACTAGTACTGCTTCCCGACACAGAACTCGAGGCGGAAGTACTGGCACTAAAACTGTTGTCTCCGATTAGGATCTCGTAATCATTTCCATTAGTTGTCTGCAAATTATTCTTGAGGTCTGAGGAATGGGTTTTTGGTTGATTTTGAGCCATTATAACGGAATTTTAAGTTAATGTTGATTTAGAATAACAAAATAATATAAAACTAATACTAAATTTTAAGATAAGGTAAAAAAGTTTAACAAACGAACAAAAAAGTCACTATAGATTATGTTATAGTAGAATTAAAATCAAATACAATCACTAAAATGGTAATACAGTTTACAACAATTATAATGAAGTAAACTAAAAGTTCTTAAAGTCAAATAAAATTGAATTAAAGATTCATAACAAGGTTTTCTTCTT